TGAAGTACAGTTAAATTCAGTTATTTCTATTTGTATGCCATTTTAGGCACTCCCCTCCCCCAATCTGTGTTGATTTTATTTGTTTTTGAGTGTGTAAAACAACATGGTCTTCAAAGGGAGAACTAAACAGAAAGGTATACTCATTCTGTCTACCCATTCCTTCTATTTGTTCTTGCCTTCCTATTTCTGTCCCATATATTTAAATTTCCTTTTTTTTTTAAATAAAGGATAATAATACCATTAGACATTTTTATATACTTTACTTTTTTCATGTAACAGTTTATCCTGATGTAACTGACCATTCCATATCAGTGCATAGAGAACTTTTTGGCTTTTAAAAATAACTGCATAGTATTCCACTATGTGTTTGTACCATAATTTGTTCAGCCACTTTCCTGCGTGTATTGGAAGCTCTTATCTAAGCTTCCAGTATTTAGCAGTTACAAACAATACATAATCTTGTGGATATACTTTTGTCTTGCTGGTGGTATATCTTAAGGGTGAATTCCTAGAAGTGGGATTGCTGGATCAAAATTAAATGCATACATAGTCTTGTTAGGTATTGCCAAATTCCCCACCAGAAGAGTTGTACCAGTTTGCATTTTTACTAGTAGTGTGTGAGTGTGCCTCTTTTTCTCCACTGCTACTTCAATAAAATGTTTTGACATACTTTTAAATTTTTACCAATCTAATAGGTAAGAAATGTATCTTGGTATAATTTTAAATTGCATTTGAGAGTAGAGTTCAACATCTTTTCATGTTTAATATGGCTATTTATTGTACATGAGGTTTTGTCTCTCTCTTTCTAGGACTCAGTGCTTTATCTTTTGAAACTGTTCCACGGGTCCTTCAGGTTCTGTTCAGTTTTTTTCAATCTTCTATCTTTGTGTTCTTTCGATTGGATAATGTCTGTTGAGCTATCTTTTAGGTTCATTGACCTTTTCTCTGTTATCTCCTTTTTGCTATTGAGCTCATCCAGTGAATTTATGGTGTTTTTCAGTTCTAAAATTTTTAGTTTTTATTTATAGTTTGTATTTGTCTGTTTATATTTCTTTTCATTTATTTCATATGTGTTTTTCTTTACCTTATGGAGCGTAATTATCATAGCTGCTTTAAAGTCTTTGCTAATTCAAACGTCTGCTTTATTTTGGCATTGGTATCTGTTGATTTTTTTTTGTGATAAGTCACATGACCTTGTTCTTTGAGTGTCAGGTAATTTTGTATTATTAATATATCCTGGACATTGGAATGTTACAATATGTAAACTCTGGGTTCTGTTACAGTCCTCTAGAGAATATCGAGAACTTTGTTTTAGTAGGCATTCAACCCTGTTAGTTCAAATTATAAATTCTGTCTCATCTTCCAGCAGCTCTTTCCCCTTTTGTCGACCCAGTAATTCAGTTCTCAGCTCTCTCGACATTTGCTACACTTTTGGGGGACTATCTCACACATGTGTAGTTTAGAGGTTAAACCAAGACTTGTGAGTATTTATACTCAGAAATGAGGAATCACCTCCAACTCTCTTCCCCTCAAGGTTTCCCCCACATTGTCCAGTTTTCTTAGTTTCTTGGGCCAGAAATGCAATGGGGTTTCTGTTGGAGTTTTAGCTACTGTATGACTTTAAAACTGGGGCCCACTCTCAGGGAAAAACCAGCCAAAATAAAATTGGAAACTCACCCTTATGTGGTTTGCTTTTCCAAGTTTTGACCCCCTTCCATAATCCCTTTGGTTTTCTTTACTTTTCTTAGTCTTCAAGCAGAGGGGTGTGTATGCGTTCTGGTTGAGAGTTGTTATAGTAATAGAAGGGTGAGCTGTTGGGGATTACACCTCCTGATTTATCTGGTTTTATTTGTTCTTCATGCTGGTTTGAGTAGTTTTTGATAGGTGTGTTGAGAGATTTGAATTTACATAGCTGTTGTTACCTCTGTTACCTTGGTAATCAATTTGAGTTTTTTCTCTGAATCCAGCCTAACACGTCTTACTTTTTTTTGTACTAACTTTTTGAAATAATGTATTGATTAGGTAAAAGAAATAAAGTTTTTTTTAGTTTTCAGCAGTTCCATGTATAAGAAGGTTTGTTCTAAGAACCATATAGTAGGAATTTTAAATAAATAAAAAACCTCATATTATGGAAGTATTTTATTTTATTCCATTAATTTGTAATGTTAAGGTTAGGTCAGAAAATTTATGAGAATAATTTGAAAATAAATACCCAACAAAAGCAGTCATAATCAACTCTGAATTTCAGAGGGACTTATTCTAGATGGAAAAAATTTCAACATCTTCATAAGAAAATAAAGACTATTTTTTATAGCTTTCTCTAAATAGAGGACATAAAGAGTTTTAATCCTGCAAAAGGCACATGAATTTGATCATATGTGTTTTTATGTAGTAATCAAGATTACCATAAGATTTAAATGTGTTAATCATTTTGTGTGTTTAAATGCATTGGAGATACTAATGTAGTTCTACTTTAAAAAAAAATTGTAGACTGCTTATATTTATAAATGACCCAAAACCTAATATGTTGATGATGATGTACAAACTTTAATATTTCATGATATTTAACATATCATTCTTCTCTTTCAGATGGTCTTCTGGTCGTTGGTGTTCACTCGGCTAAGTTTCCAAATGAAAAAGTGCTGGATAACATTAAGAGTGCTGTTCTTCGGTACAATATCACCCACCCTGTGGTTAATGATGCAGATGCCAGCCTGTGGCAAGAACTGGAAGTTTCCTGCTGGCCAACTCTGGTCATACTTGGACCCCGTGGAAACATGTTGTTTTCTTTGATTGGCGAAGGACACAAAGATAAATTATTTTTATACACTTCAATAGCTTTAAAGTATTACAAAGACAGAGGACAAATCAGAGATAATAAAATAGGGATAAAACTGTATAAAGATTCTTTGCCACCTTCACCATTGCTATTTCCTGGCAAAGTAACAATAGACCATGTTACTAGTAGATTGGTAATAGCAGACACTGGACATCATAGAATTTTGGTCGTTTGGAAAAATGGACAAATCCAATACAGCATTGGAGGTAAAGTTTGCTTCTAATTATATATAATGCATTTTACAGTAAAATAGGTAAATATATAAAAATTGAAATTTATAAATAAGAACTAATTATAGAAAGGTGATATGCATTGACTTTTAAACTCACCACCCATATATTTAAATTTCCTTTTTTTAGTAAATAAAGGATAATAATACCATTAGACATTTTTATATACTTTACTTTTTTCATCTAACAGTTTATCCTGATGTAACTGACCATTCCATATCAGTGCATAGAGAACTTTTTGGCTTTTAAAAATAACTGCATAGTATTCCACTATGTGTTTGTACCATAATTTGTTCAGCCACTTTCCTGCGTGTATTGGAAGCTCTTATCTAAGCTTCCAGTATTTAGCAGTTACAAACAATACATAATCTTGTGGATATACTTTTGTCTTGCTGGTGGTATATCTTAAGGGTGAATTCCTAGAAGTGGGATTGCTGGATCAAAATTAAATGCATACATAGTCTTGTTAGGTATTGCCAAATTCCCCACCAGAAGAGTTGTACCAGTTTGCATTTTTACTAGTAGTGTGTGAGTGTGCCTCTTTTTCTCCACTGCTACTTCAATAAAATGTTTTGACATACTTTTAAATTTTTACCAATCTAATAGGTAAGAAATGTATCTTGGTATAATTTTAAATTGCATTTGAGAGTAGAGTTCAACATCTTTTCATGTTTAATATGGCTATTTATTGTACATGAGGTTTTGTCTCTCTCTTTCTAGGACTCAGTGCTTTATCTTTTGAAAC